TGAGGTATGATCATAAAGTGATGAGATTACATGTTCTTAAAACAAATGTTCTAGATACAAATATACAAATAAGAGTTATCTTTTAAATGGTGATTTTTGGCAAATACATTTATCCCAACAAACTACTCAAAACAGTTAAGTAGCCCATGATATTTGGGATGATCCTGGTACTTGTTTACAAACCATGCAAGAAAAGAAAATAAGCCTCCTTTTTTGTTGTTCCTCATTTTAGATTTTATAAAATGTTTTATCATGCACCTTATTCATTAAACTTAGTTTTGAATGATTTCGGAGATTATATCAAATAGTATGCTCTAAAGCAGTAATATCCAAAAGAATTTTCTGCAGTGATGAAAATTTTCTATGTCTGTATTATCCAAGATAGTAGCTAGCAGCCACGTATGGCTATTGAGCACTTAAAATGTGGCTATTGGGCCAAGCCCGTGGCGCACTCGGGAGAGTGCGGCGCTGGGAGCACAGCGACACTCTCGCCACGGGTTCGGATCCTATGTAGGAATGGCCGGTGCGCTCACTGGCTGAGCACGGTGTGGGCTACACTACACCAAGGGTTGCGACCCCCTACCCGGTCACGAAAAAGACAAAAAAAAAAATGTGGCTATTGCAACTGAGGGACCTAATTTTTAATTTTATTTAATTTTAATTAACTGAAACTTAAAGGGCTGTATGTTGCTAGTGGCTATCAAATCAGAGACAGCACAGATTAAAGCCATCACCAGAAAACAGGCTCCTAAAATATTTTGTCCCCAATATATATCAGAAATCTTATTGAAATTAGAGTGTAACCTCAACAAATGACTAGTTTGAATATATAAAATTATCTTTGCTCAGAATAAATCAGTGATATTACTACAAAAGATTCACTTCAGATTCCAGTGACTGCTCTTCAAATACTCATACCTTTTATTTAAAGAATGCTAAAGACCTTGTTTCATTTTTCGAGGCCAACATAGCAACACTGAAGCACAACAGACTTGAAGACCACTATGAATGAGAAAAGGTCATCCACAACCACAAATATTCACTGGAAACATAGAGCTCAAGTCTGTCATGGAATTCGCTAGGCACTCCCCTTCTTCAGTGATGCAATACCGAACATGTAAAAAGGTCAAATCAAGAAGGCAATCACGTACTTTTGGAGCTGGTAAACAAATATCAGAAACAAAACGTAATGAGGCTTCAACTGTGACTGAAGTTTTGCCAAGAGAACCAACAACAATCAACATTAAAAGGAAGAGACCACTGACAATGAGATAGTCCTGACAAAGGGGCTACTGTACAAAGCCCCACTGGGTTGAACTTTTAGGACAAAATGATGCCAACAGGACACCCATGCCTCCGCTATACAGTGGTGATTTAGGTGGGTGGCAAAAGTTTCAGAAGCCTGGCATATCCTTCCATATTTCCAGCCTCACAGTTCACCATCTTCAAATACGAGAGAACATTTAGGACAAAATGATGCCAACAGGACACCCATGCCTCCGCTATACAGTGGTGATTTAGGTGAGTGGCAAAAGTTTCAGAAGCCTGGCATATCCTTCCATATTTCCAGCCTCACAGTTCACCATCTTCAAATACGAGAGAACATACTTCTACACATTTCTTCCAGAGCCTCTGTGGTCAAGTCTTCTTCTAGGTATGTCACTACCCACATGAATATATTCTCATCAGCATATTGGTATCACCTGGGCCCTTGTAGATTTGTTTACTGTAATTTCAGTGAATGTTTAAAATGGTATGTTTAAAATATAAACTTAAATCTACGACATGCTTTTTTATTAACAGATTAAATAAAATAATGACCATATTACACGATACTTGTGTGATATTCATATCTGAAAATTTACTTTGATAAATTGAAAAGGAAGCAGAAGACATCACAAAGAGGTAATGACCCTAATGATTTTTAGTGATTTTAACTAGCTCTTCAAATGCAGAAATTTCATAAGAAATCTGAGCATCCATGAATTTATTTCAAATAACTATACTTGATACATATATGTGTTCTCTGGGTTTTTTAAATGGACTTTGCTGCTTGCTTTAATATTTTTGAAGATGGAACACATCCTCCTCACAATCTCTGACTGTTTAAGTGCTCTATACAGAGCTGTCTAATAAATGTTGTTATTTTGGTGACAGTAATAATAACGGACTAAAACGAACAAAGAGGGCAAGGTTGTGACTCACCCATGATAAAACAATGTAAGAAGTAGAGACAGTACTAGATCATAGAACATCAGCATAGTATAATACAGATCTGGATGACATGAATAAAGCATTTATCTCTGTCACAGTATTGATTTAATGAGTTTGCTGAACAATCATAAAGGCAATTATCTTTCCACCACTAATTGATTCAAGGCATTCCCTCTTTCAGAATGAGATCAATTTCCATTTTATTCCCCTAATCTAACTGATATTTACTTGTTTCTGGGCTGCTAGAACCTCAACTCCTCCTGTATGTTCTGATTTACCTTAACCCTCCTTCCCCTGCCCTACCCAGGCCCTTTATAACACACACACGCGCGTGCCTGCGTGCGCACACTAATGAATTTGACTTACGTTGACATTTTCTGGCAATGGTTTGTTCTGAGTCAGCCCCACAGCGATCAAAGCTATCACAGCTATAATGCAGGAGAAGCCAAGGATGGCCAGGATATTTCTGGAGCAAAATATCTTCACCTCAGAATCTAAAACCAAAAGCAGAAGGGAAAACATCAACAAGAAATCAATAAACACTGATTTTTCTCCTCTTTCTGCCTAGTCTTGTGATGGCTATCTGGTGATTAGGTATCAGAGATAGGTAAAAGCCAATCTTTATCCATAAGGCACTTGCAAAGTAACTGGGAAATAATTCAAGAACAAAAGAATGTCTGTACTGTGATGAGAGCCAAGACTGAGTTAGTGGCCATGGCGAGGAGAATGAACAAAACGAGGTCAGTGATCAAGTATGGAATGAAGAGAGAAAAGAGTCCCAAATTGAAAGTTTGTTTAACAGGTTATATAAGGCTATCAAGGTACAAATAACAAGTGATATTAAACAAGATTTCCCTCCTCATTTTTTAAATCTACCACAAAATGTTTAAGATGTTTAAAAGTATTAAGAATATATGATCAACCACCGAATCCCATCACCTCGTGACATCTCCTGGCTTGACATACCCCTTGCACTTCAAACACCCTTATATGGCAAGCAATTGGCAACAGGCTAGAGGGTAAGAGATTTTGAACATTTCAGATCATTTTTCACATTTCGTCTATTCTTAGTCTTACACTGTCATGGGACATAAAAAAGCTCCAATATCAGAATTTTTAAAAGGCAAAAGTTACTTTGATCATATATAAACAGATCGTATAGAGGAGGTGAACAGGAAATGGAATGGGTACGTATTCCCTCCATCCTGACCACTAAACCATCTCTTTCTTTCTTAACTTTCCAAACTATCCCCAAACTTTATTCCTAGGCTTTGGGGAGGAAGAATAGGATAATATAACATAGAAACATATGGAAATGAGATGGTTCTCCAGAATAGTCTGCACTTCTCTAAGGACAAAGGGTGGGATCAAAACAGCTGAAAGAGAAGCCCGAGTCTCCTCCTCCTCCTTGCCTCTTGTCAGCAGCAGCTGGCTGGTCACTGAAATGCAGCTCTTCCTCAAGCTCTTGAGCAGAAACTTGGACTTAGTCCAAAGGACTGGAACCATATGCGTCTTCAGTCTGTATCAACCCCAGAATCTTAAACCAGTCTTTACCCATCAGACCAAACAATACAAAGCTTAGGGGAAAAAGTTTTAGCAACACCATTATGTACTGCTTCCAAACAAGGAACAGCAGATGATATATACAGCATCTCTCCCCTTCTCCCTTCCCATTTTACTCAGATGCCTGCTGCTCTCCCAAGCTTAGGGATGGACCTGATTGGTCTGTGTGATCTCATTCCCTCACCGGTGAACAATGGGTATGTACCTAATTATGGCCCATGAGACCCTGGAGGAAGTCTGCTAGGACATGTCTAGGGGGAAAAAATGAAACATTCACTCTTCTTCCTTAGACACTGTCCTGCCTGGATGGGATGACATTCAGTAATGGAGTGGCAGAGAGACGAGGAGAACCTGAGTCCTTGATGACATTTTGAGCAGTTAAGTCAACCGACCCTGAGCCCATCCTCACATAAGACTTATGCTCTGACCCAGGTGTTGTCAAAATTTTAATTACTTGAAATATCCTGATACAACTGCTGTAGCAAAAATGCCCTCTTTGATGCTAGGGCTCTGGAATCTGGAAAAGAACCCTTTAAGGACTCCCCACCTTAGTTTCCAAAGTTGTGATATTGACAAGCACAGCTCCAACAAGCATGTGCTTTAGATGGACTACGATAAATACAATACCCAAGGGCAGCACATTGTTATCAATATTTCTACTGTGGTAGAATTTTGAATGCTTTATTCTCTCAAGCTGTTCAAAAAGGTCTACCTATTTAGTTCTTTTCTTTTCGTAAATATGACTGTACAATACCCAAGGGCAGCACATTGTTATCAATATTTCTACTGTGGTAGAATTTTGAATGCTCTATTCTCTCAAGCTGTTCAAAAAGGTCTACCTATTTAGTTCTTTTCTTTTCGTAAATATGACTGTTTCGCTATCTCATTTTCCTTCCACATCTTTTCAGGCACTATTCTTAGCATACAGATTACTACAGTGAAAAAGACCGACACGGTCCCTGCTCTTTGGAGTGTACCATCTAGTTAGGGAAACAGAAAATTGGAAAAGAAGTACATAAATAAGTGATTTCAGATCATGATAAGTGCTAAGAAGAAATTAAAACCAAGGAATGTGATAGAGTGACTTGCAGCAGAGTTGGGGTGGAGAGGAGGGTATTAGATTGAAGGTCAAGAAAGCCTCTCTGAGAAGATGACATGTGAACTGAGACCTGGACGATAAGAAAATACCAGCTATGAGAAGGGGTAAGAACATTCCAGGAGGAAGGAAGAAAAACTGCAAAAGCCTGAGGTGGGAACCAACTTGATGTGACTATAATTGTTTCCTCCTTTTTCTAATAAGAATATTTACTAGTTCCTTATAATCACTGAACAATTGGATGTACACTGTTCCACATGTGCCCAGCTTTTACAATGATATCTGCATTACTAAAATATATTCAAGCTTTTCATCATAATCTTATTTCTTATTAAAGATAGAATAAGAAAAACAACTTAGGTCAGAGAGAAAGCTAGGAATTTTCCACACACGATTTTCAAAAGCTTTATTACCAAAAAAACAATGACTAAGTTTGTTTTCATGTAACCAATTAGATTACCCAGAGAGGAGTAATTAAAATGATATCTCTCTCATGGACTACATGGCAGGCAGTTTTCAAAAACCCTGATCATATGCAGGAAGCAGGACTCTTCTCAGGAGGAGGTGCTAGACATGGGTGTCCAGACTGAAATATTTGGTATGTGGTCCTAAAAGGGGAACCACTTAGGTAACTGCCCACCTCTTCTTGGGTCCCTAGAGCTCTTTCGGATCCCGTGACTGCTATGGTGAAGTTCTATTATGAAAAATTCACATTGACTGTCTTCCCCCTGAAAAGCCCTTCATTTGACTCAGGGATAACAGAAATGTGGTTTCCATCATACTATGTGAAATGGTATTTCAAAAAACAATTATACTAGAGGTATCCAATGGCAAAACGTAGTGGGTTTTTTTGTTTTGTTTTGTTTTTCTTTTTTCTTTATTGGCTCACTATACTAGAGAATTCAAGACTACCACTTCCTACCCATTTTTTTCCTTTCATGTCCTACCAACTGATTTCAAGCCAATTATGTCAGAAGCAAAAAAAAAAAAGCTGGCTCTTTTTATTCTTTTTCCTTTCATGTCCTACCAACTGATTTCAAGCCAATTATGTCAGAAGCAAAAAAAAAAAAAAAAGCTGGCTTTTTTTATTCCTACACGGTCATCATGATGTCCTATTAGGATGCCATTAAAATGAAAATCAAGAGTATTTAATTTTGTTCTTAGTCAAAATTCTGCTGTACAGAGAAATCTCATCATTTGTACTTCATGATACCAAAAATATAATATCTTAAACCTTTATTCTATTAAACAGATTTGGGATGTTGACAGATATGGTGAATTTCATGCAAAAATAAAAGTTTTGCTTTGAGGATTCAGTATAACTGAACTAGATTCAAATTGTTTCCAATTTCTGATAGGACACATCTGGACCAAGCTTGACTTGTCATACAGAGAGCAAAACAACAAATGTGGACAAGCGCTGACAAGTAAACATCAGGGGAGGGCTGTGGTCCTTCCTGTGTTTACATAGCCAGATGATGAAACAATCACTGACGGTCAGGGGACTGGCCCTAATCTCGTCTTGCCACTTCCCCATCTCCCAGAGACAAGGTCTCAACACCATCTCTGCCACATTCTTTCCTCTCCATCAGGGAGTTCTTCTTGGGGACACATATTTAGGCTGTTCTCACACTCAAGGGCTTTAAGATCCTCTCCTGGTTGCTTTGTCCTAGGCCCCTTATACCGACTTTCTTCTATAGTGATATCCACCCCCGTTGTTCCAGTTACCCCTGTTTCATATCTGATCTTCCACAATGGCTTTTTCTGGTGACTCCCGCCCTTCCTAATTCTCTTCCCTATCAGAAGCCATCCTTCATGTAGTTGCTGTCCTAGGCCCCTTATACCGACTTTCTTCTATAGTGATATCCACCCCCGTTGTTCCAGTTATCCCTGTTTCATATCTGATCTTCCACAATGGCTTTTTCTGGTGACTCCCGCCCTTCCTAATTCTCTTCCCTATCAGAAGCCATCCTTCATGTAGTTGGAGAAATCGTCCATAATTGACATTCCTAAGGATGTCAATTTCTGATCAAGAACATATAGTAGCTTCCGGCTGCATGCCAGATGAAAGCCACGTTGGTCTACCTAGACCTCCTAGCCCTTCAGATATTTAAGCCCTTCCCATCTCACAGCACTAACAAGCAGATCTGTTTGTGTACAAGATCAGAATGCCTGACCTTATGACCACTAGAATGCAAGCTCCCTGCACACATGGACTTTTTTTTGGCTTGCTCATTGCTATATCCCACGTTGAACGAAAGAAGGGATGAATTTTAGATTCTCCGAATTTTTTCCAATGTGAGATTTCCTTCACTTGGAATTCCATTCCCCTCATTCTCCACCAGGTCTTTTTCCTTGTCTCCTTCAAAATCAAGCTCGATAGGAGGCTATGTTCCTCTCCATACTCATCAAAGCTCAATTATTCCAGTAGTTCTCTCTTCATGTGCTATCTCTAGTTATTTAATAGTTTGAACCATTTCAATTTGAAAGTTCTATAGTTGTTGGAGAGAGGGATGGGCTTCATTCATTCTTTTAATAAGTCATTCAGTTATTTATTGAATGCATTACACTATGCAGTAGACCTGCCCTAGACTCTGAGCTACAGCAGTGAACAAAATAGATAAATGTCCCCATCTGCAAGGTGCTTAAATTCTAGTTTGGAGGAAAAGACAATAACAAGATAAATAGGTAAAATGTATAGTATGTTACATAATTATAAGTGCTAAGGAGTGAGGAAAGGCAAGGAAGGTGAAGAGGAAGGATAGAGTGATTAGGAAAGGCCTCTCCAAGAAGGTGATCTTCAGTAACAAAGTCAAGGGAGCAGGGAGAAAGCAT